ATCTTCAATTTCATGTCCGACTCGTCTTTTTTATTTATTTTTTTAACCGCTATTTGACCAGCGCAACATTTGGGGGCAGCACTTCGTGGGTGCAACCTGCATCATTCCATAGGTGACATACGAGTAAGTGATTGATGAATGCGTTGCGTTGATACTTCGCCACCACGGCATTTTGCGAAATCGCAAGCATGGGCAAATGTTTGTTTGATGACAATTGGTTGGAGGACGAAAAGTATCGGGGGTGGCAAAAAAAACAGGCAGTAATCATGAAGGGAGGTGTGCTCTATCTAAAAAGACGATAAAACTGGGGACACTGGGCCGCAAAGCGCTCGATTCACACATGAAAGCAGAGAAGCACAAAAAGCATGTGTAGTCGCAGGCAAGTACTTTGCCCATAAGCATGTTCAGCAATGTTCCCTGACTCAGAGTGTGCGAGTACAATGTGGAAGAGACAAAACAGTATATTTAGCACGATTTGGTGTTGCCCTATACCAAAAGAAGAAACTAATTCACGAGCAAACAAGAACACTTTCATCATAATGTTTGATGAGTCCGTGAACGCAGCAACGGAGACTTACACTTGCACTTTAGACGTTGGTCGACTGACGAGACCGGTGCCCTGTTGTCAGGGTTGTAAGGTCAATCAGCACTCGGCATAAAAGTTTTTGCGTCCCTTTGACCTGTCTTGAGCATGACTCTGGCGAGTTGTGCCACGCTAATGCTTCACCACATCATTCATTTCCTGTTTTTTTTTGTTTAGGTAAAGTCTTAAATTTTCATTTTAGAGGACTTAAAAAGGTCTTAAAAGGTATTAAATTTCCTGTTAAAAAATGTGCAGAAACCCTGTTAATGTAGATCAGACAGGTTTTAGAAAAGTTAGACAGGCCTCTGACAATGTCTGATGTCTTCTTCATGTTCTCTCTACTTTTGAGACATCTGACATCCCTCAGCTTAGACGCTGAAAAAGCTTTTGATAGGCCTGAATGGAGTTACTTAAAGTATTTTTAATTAAAAATTAAAGTATTATTATTAATTATTATTATTAATTAAAGTATTTGGCTTTGACTCTAACTTCATTCAGATGATAAAACTTTATATATCTGCTTTCAGGCCGTGGTTCAAACAGGGCAGATCATCTCTAACTCTTCCTGTGAGCAGAGGATCTCGACAGGGCTGTCCTCTATCACCTCTATCTTATAGCCTGTGCTGAAGGTTATAGAGAAAGAGCAAATAAGGCAAGATCCCATGACTGTTCCAACAAGAATCGAAGACACGAGTCATGAAACCTCTCTTTATGTTGACGATATAACCCTTTACTTTACTCGCCAGATCGTCTCCCAGATTCTAAACCTTTTTCCACATTTAGCAGGTTTCCACTAGTGATACACGTATATTCTTGATATCAAATATTACAGTTTTACCAGCAATGATTCAACTGTTGTATCAAGAATAGACATTTGCACTGTGTCCATCTGACAACTGATATCAAGAACAGAAGCTGGCACTAGCAGGAAATCTATCTCTGCTGTGTAAAATTTAAATGTTCACTAGTAAGAAATCAATTCTTGATATCAGCAATTGTATTTCTGCTATGGTGGCATCATTGCTGATATCAGGAGTTAATGGTGTTACTAGTTAAAATGTAATACTGAGATCAACAATTGAAAATAGGTCGAAAACAGCTTGTCATAATGTGTGTGTATGTGTGTGTGTGTGTGTGTGTGTGTGTGTGTGTGTGTGTGTGTGTGTTCTGACCGCCTCCAGCATCTCTCTCCTGCTCATCAGTGTGTCCAGCTCCTCCTGATGCGTCTCCAGCTCCTGAAGCAGAGCAGAGCACAGAAACTGATATAGATGCAGTCAGCAGAAGAGCAGGACAGCACACCTGTGGAGGACACCTGAGGTGTGCTGACCTGCCTCACTTGTGTGTGTGTGTGTGTGTGTGTGTGTGTGTGGAGTGAGACCTGCAGCAGCTCCTCATTGCTGCTCTTCATCTCTCTGTACTGCTTCTGCTTGTCCTCACTCATCTTCTGTATGATGTCCTGAGCCGCTCGCTTCTGCTGCACCACCTGCTCCTCCACGGCCCGGATCAGATCCTCTTTCCTGACACACACAGGAAAGAGCCAACAATGAGCAAAACCATGAAAGAAAATGATGAACACAGCACTAATGATGGTCAATAAAGCCGTGCAGGAGACGCTGAGAGCGTGGAGGGTGTGTTATCCTGCTGAAGAGCACATCAGGTGGTGCAGCTCCTCTACAGCAGGAGAACAGCCCTGATCCTCCACTGCTCCTGTCAGACCATCATCACTGACGCCTCACAGCACAATTACTCTCTTATCCACGGTAAAACATGTTGAGCAGTGACGATGAATAATACATAACCCATCCAGAAGATGAAGATATCGGAGCTGTGTGTGTGTGTGTGTGGTCTGCTGGACTGTGAACACACAGCAGGTGAGTGCTCTTCTATATTTAAGTGATGTGTGTGTGCTGCTTCTCTCTCCTGGGCTCTGTGTGTGTGTGTGTGTGTGTCTAGTGCTCGCTCGCCTTCACAGACCCTCACTCCCATCCTCAGACCGCTTCTCCATGGGCTCACCGGTGCTGATATTTGGACTTTATCTACAGTGATACACAGATCTCTATATTACAGCAGATCATGGCATGCTAAACAGGTTTAAAGTCCCCATGAGATCAAAACTAGCCCTACTGATGTAGTCAGCTGACAGTGCCAGATCTGACACACCTACTTTACCACAACCAATCAGCCTGCAGTAGAAAAAACAAGCCACGCCCACTGTTTGCTCATTTAATGTCCCGTTTCTATAGGAACTGCGTCACAATGTGAACAGAGTAAGGATTGTTCATGCAGACTGAAGGGGTCGTTCACACACACATTTCCTCATCATTCACTCCGCCTCTACTGCACTCATCATGTCTGCTGCCTGCTCACATTACTATTTAAACTGAGCTCCGTCAACACAATTCTTCATTAATTCTGAATTCACAACTCTTTTTGGACAGTTTACTTGTTTAATGTTCGATCTACTTAAATCTGTAAAAACAACTGAGGAAGTGTAATCCATGTGTGTCAGGACAACATGAAGGGTGATTTTACAGTGTAGTTTAAACCTTTAACCTAAGCCTAACACTAAAGGAAACGATTTGAAGAATGCTGGAACATGCAACTGTTCAAATTACCGGCTTCAGCATTCTTCAAGATATCTCCCTTAGTGTTCAACAGCAGAAGGAAACTCAAAGGTTTGAAACTAGAGAAAATTGTATTATTTGTTGAACTGTGCCTTTAAGAGAGAGTGTGTGTGTGTGTGTGTGTGTGTGTGTGTGTGTCTGTTGCCCTCTAGTGGAGAAACTCTGCAGAGCACCTACTGTCGTCTCTGTGTGAAGATCACGTCTATACTCTGAGCTTCTCTGTCGTTCTGCGCCTTCAGCTGGAGAAAACACACACACACACACACACACACACACGCGCAGAACATCAGCAGAATGGCAGGACGCTGAACAGGAAGTGTCCAGTGCTGATTTGCTCACCATGATGATGTCATTCACCACTTCCTCCATCTCAGTGTTAGTGTTCAGCTTGTCCACCAACTGCAGAAACACACACACACACACACACACACACACACACACACTTCTATGTCTGGCAGAAGTAGGTTTGGGTGTCGTTTGGGTTTATTTTGATACCGGTGCTAACTCGATACTTTTAAAACGGTGCCGGTGCCAAAACAGTGCCTGAACCGCTACTTTTAAGCCACACAATTAAAGTGGATGACTCTAGAGAAATCTTTCATTTGACAAAATCTTTTTTATTTAAGTTTACTAGAAGAATATAATTAGAGTTTAAAGTAAACATCAGTTCATATTGTATATATTTGAATGACATTAATACATACTTCTTTCATGCATCAGTCTGCTGTCTTCATGAACAAGATAATTAAATAACTTAAACTCAAAATAATCTTCCATGTTCGTTTATTGGACAAGTTGTACTGGTGTAGGAGAACACATTTCTAACATTCACGTACATCAAGGCACATCGCTGCACCTGTTCACTTTAACAGACAGGTCTACTGCTGTGGTCAATTTATTTTGCCCTCCCATTGATTTACAATCATGTTTCTGAAAATTTTTACAGTGTTTCCTAAAAAAACAATGATTCTGGAGTCATAATAAGTTCTATTTATTGTTTATTTCATGAATAAAAGCTGCTTTTAATTGAAATAAAAATAAGGTCAGTATTATTAGCCTCTTTAAGAAGTATTTACTGTATATTTCTGATTTACACCACAAATCTGTTACAAAATCAATTGACTATTTATTTCAACTTCCGTAGCTCAATCATGTGTTGAAGACGGAAATCAAAATGAATGAAGGCAAAACTAAACTTGCTTGAATATGACTGACATGAGCGTGACTGAACACTACACTTGATCAGTGTCTCGCATCTGTTCATTGGCACTTGCAGACTGTAAATTCAAGACTGCATTTCCTAACGTGAAACTATGTGCACTAGATTCCTGATTAATAACGGTCTCCGCATAGCCGAGCACTTCCTATATTAAAGTGTTAAGATCGCTATTACCTGTGTCAATTTGGGCGTCCACCTCTGTCGAATGCGGGGAACTAGGCTAATGCGCGCAGCTCCGTCACTGACAGGGAACACGTGCGCACGGTGCTGTGTGAATGCTTGCTTGTAAAATCAGCTTCAGAACACTTAGTTTAAGCAAATCTGATGAACGTGATGACGCGTGTAGATCTGACGAGAGTCGCTCTCGTTCACCGAATGCGCTGTACTGCGTGTGTTGTGTGTGTCCGTTCCCTAGGCAACAGGAACAAACGCCTGACATCGCCTGTCTGTATTCCTCAGAGTTGGTCAGAGTGAAAGGTTTAGAGATTGTGTGACCACGTGTACCTGTGTGTGCCTTAGATGCACCGCTTAATGCTTCTTACGGCCGTGTCGCAGCAGCAGTGGCACCAAAATTAGGCACCGAAACTCATATGCTGATTTGATCCAGTACATACCAGTTACAAAGGTACTGGTGCTATAATGGCACCCAACCCTAAGCAGAAGGGTTTGCTCTGTGTGCTGTAGATCAGCGTACCGTATTATAATCCGCCAGCTGACCCTGAAGATCCTTAATTTCACCAGCGAGGACTTCTGCTCTACTCGTGCACACACACACACACACACACACACAGAAACAGACACACACACACACACAGAAACAGACACACACACACACAGTAATTAGACCTCAGAACAGCACTTATCAGATAGCCAAAAATGTGTTAGTATTGTGTGTGTGTGTCATTGATCAATCATGTGTGTGTGTGTGTGTGTCTAGTAAGTCTGCAGCGGTGTGTGTTACTGATCAGTCATGTGTGTGTGTGTGTGTGTGTGTGTGTGTGTGTCTGCAGGTGTGTGGGATGAGTGCACCTCTTCTCATAAGACAGGTAGACGGAGTTCTCCTGGTTGAAGGTGTCGATGTCCTTCTGCAGTCTGCTGGACTCCATCGTCAGCTCGTTTATTTTACTCCTGAAGTAAATCACAGCACATTTACCAGCGCATCACATCCAGGAGACACACACACACACACACACTGTTATAGGCAGAACACATACACACCTTAATAAGCCCAGATAATAAGACTTGTCCAGGATCTGCCTCTGGGGTCCTGCAAGAGTCAAGCACAGAGTGAGTGATCTCGCTGCCCACAGCTCTCCATCTCTCCACAGAGCAGACACATCTTTATGCCAGACATTTCTTTATTCCCTCATTTATTCTGCAATGGGGAAACTCCTGGATTTTGAAAAGGCGTATTACAGAAACATGAGGAGCTGTGTGGATGAGCATTAGCAAACCTCCTGGTTTATTACTGGTCTGCAGATATCCGACACTTGCTGCTCTGGTGCCTTTCTAATGATGAACCTCCTGCTTGGTTAGGGATTGACAAGGCGTCGCCCAATCCCAATTCTCCCTCTTAGGCCAAACTCACACTAGGTACAGTTGCCTCGAACCGGGCCAAAGCATGCTAGTTCCCCCCTCCCGTCTCCCCCGACGGCCCACACTCACACTACAGTCGGGCCTGGGCACGTTTACGTCATCGCTGCTGCGCTGTTCAGTGAGAAGCGCTCTCGCTCAGCACAGTGGAGATTTCTCTAGTTATATCGTGTCAGTGGTTTGCTATGCAGTGACATGCAGTCACATATTTCACCAAACAGTCCTTAGGGATGCGGGGACACGCAGTCAGATATTTCGCCGAACAGATCCGCCACTTTTGGCGCTCATAAACAATCATGAAGCCCTCGTGCTGCAGGAATGAGCAGGTCTGCTGAAGGTGCAGCTGTCGTGCAGTGAGGGGTTTGTGTCTTTAATAAACTACGGCAGTTTGCGTTCACTGAACAGTAAGAATGATTAATAAATCCATATCAAACAGTCCCTTAAAGTCACATCTCGCTTTCAGTTTCGGGCTTTGGTGTGAAGTAAACCGCGCTCAGGCCCACCTCTTCCAACCGGGCCAGAGCCGGCCAGGTGAACCGTGCCTAAGCACGATTAAGCGCACTCACACTTCTCAAACGATCCGGGAAACGGGCCTGTGCACGGTACGGATGACATGTGTGAGTGTGAGTAGGCCCTAAGCCCTTCCCCTTACCCAATCTCCATCCCAATTCTCTTTATCTTGAAGGCGTAGGGCAGGGCTCACCAAACTTGTTCCTGGAGGTCCAGTGCCCTGCGGTGTCGGAGTTTAGCTCCGACCCTAATCAAACACACCTGAACAAGCTAATCACGGCCTTCAGCTGCGGTCACACTAGAGTTTGAGCATGTGATATTCTGCCGTGTGGCGCTGTGAAAAGGGGCGGGATTAAACAAGCTTATTAGACATTATTATAAGCGAGCGATTGCTCCATGTTTACATTTCTGTACAGAGAGGTCATGTTCTGATCCTCCACTGCTCTCACGCAGTCAATTGATGCGATTTCGCAGGTCAGAGTTCACCAAGCTTGAACTTTGCACCGCAGCAACCTGAGAAACTTGACACATGACCCTGCGTTTCCGGTCTCACACATTGACGTGCATATATATGGAAGTCTTTGGGAGGAAAAGCTCAGTGTGAACGCAGCTTCACTAGGTATACTTGAAACACCCAGGCAAGTGTGTTGAGGCAAGTTAGAGCTAAACCCTGCAAGGACACCAGACCTCCTGGACCGAGATTGGTGACCCCTGGTGTAGGGCTAAGGGGAAGGGGTAGAAGGGGTATCTCCTTCAACGGAGATTTTTCAGGAGCACACTTGAAACCAAAGGGTAACAACATTTCAGCAGCTAGCTCTATGCAACTCTCACATGGTCGCCCACTGAAGCTAAGCAGGGCTGCGCCCGGTCAGTATCTGGATGGGAGACTACATGGGAAAGCTGGGTTGCTGCCAGAAGTGGTGTTAGTGAGGCCAGCAGGGGGCGTTCAACCTGCGGTCTGTGTGAATCCTAATGCCCCAGTATAGTGACGATTGAGCGCTGTTTTTCGGATGAGATGTTAAACTGAGGTCCCGACTCTCTGTGGTGGTTAAAAATCCCAGGATGTCCTTCGAAAAAAGAGTAGGGGTTTAACCCCGGCATCCTGGCCAAATCTGCCTACTGGCCTCTGTCCATCATGGCCTCCTAACCCTCCCCATATGAATAAAAATAGGAATTTGTACAACAAACAAGCTCATGTTTTATTACATTCATAACCCCGCTTGTGTTTTACCATCATGCTTTATAAAAAACACTAAAATAGTATCTATAATCTCTAATAATATCTGCAGTACAGCAGCCCCACAACATTCTGACAATCTGAAATGGGCCTTCATGTGCTGCTCCCTCACTCCCTTCTCTTTCGTGCTGACCCATGCCGGTTTCACCATTACCGTAGGCTGTATAGGCAGTATAGGTAAGTTCTGGGTTCAGCTCAGACGTCACTGCACTGCACGATAACCCTCGCTGTCCTCCCTCATCTAATGATCAGGCTTCTGGCTTATATTAAAGACCTCTACTCTGATAATAGTTCTGCACCATTTGACCAACTCAAGTGTCGAGTCTACCAAAGCCACAACCTTTCAGATCATTTCAGATTCGGGATATCACCCGTAAACACTTTCCAGCCGCTGCGGTACCACCCTCTGGCCTGATCAAGACCATCTCTAATAATAATGCTGGTCTAACTGGAGTAGGGTTGTAACGGTATGATTTTTTTACGGTATGATAATCGTCTAAAACAATACCACGGTTTGACGGTTTCGCGGTATACGGTATTAAATAGTAATTCTCATAGCAAAGACCCTGAAAAGAATAAGAACACGTTTTCTGACTGAACAAAGGTTTTATTTCAACAAACTTTTAAAAGAACCATTTTAATAGAACTATAGAAGTCTTTTATAAAAATAAACAGAAAAATCTCCCATTTTAATAAATTAAATTAGAAGGAATAAACAAGCAGGGTCTTTTAAGATTAGACAAAAATAAACTTAAACTGTCCTTCCTTATAAGCACGATAAATGGGAGACCAAAAGTGCAATACCAAGTTTATGGCTGTAAACATGTATTTAAAGCGTTGTTTTTTTCAGTCTAGGTTGTGATGAAGAAATGTAAGCATGTTGAGATTTTCAGGACTTAATCTTGACCGCTAAGGTGAGAGAATGTGTCCACTTGTACAATGAACAAATAAAAAAATAAGAAAATAATAAATAATGTGTCAAAGTCCAAATAAACATGGTGCAAATCCTCAGTAAAAAAAATAGATATAAATATTTACTATACTATAAACAGTTACATAACGAAACTAGATTCAATATGGAACATCCTTAGGTTTTATGTGCCAGCATGGATATGGTTGTCTGTGGATATGGATTTGGATATGGTTGTCTGCAATGCAGACAAACAGCTGCACCTTCATTTGTGTCTTTTGAAAACAGCAAGAGCAGCAGTTCGTCTTTGCTGTGTCACTGTTTTGTCATGTTTCTGTGCTGCTGTGCATGCAAAAGTACTATGAGAATTATTTCATGCAAAACTTTTTTTTTTTTGCGTTTTATTTAGCCGCGCATAAATGTATGCCTATCTCTCATTCCGTGTTGTTCAAAAAGCTCAGTGTTGGTCCACAAACAAAAGCGAAACCTATGCTTATTCGTTGTGATATAGCGAGTTTGAACCAATCTGGGCATGGAGGAGGGACAATGCATCAATGTATGATGTCTGGTTTGTCCGGAGACACAGTGACGAGCGTTTCTTTGTCAAATCAGCGTTGTCAAATTTTGATGACGTAACCGCACTGATTCCGGAGCCTCTGAAAGTCTGCAAATGGTATGTGATATAGCACTGGAAAGCTGAGATTCTCTACTTTATGCCAATCTTTGAATTGTATGAATCGGATCAGCGGATCAAAAGTTATTAAACATTTAAGAGCAATACTTATTTTTAGCCGCGGGCGGCTGTCTCTGTCTTTAAGGGTTAAAACCGTTGATATGCAATTGTTCATGGTATGATAATCGTGCACGTTCAAATCGTGGTAAACCGTCATACCGGTATATTGTTACAACCCTAAACTGGAGACATCTCTAAGATTTGCAACACCTCGCTCATGTCCACTCCTCCGCCTCTGAGCGTTTGTGTTGTACTCGGGCTGGGAAGACATCTGGTCGACGATTTTACACAAGGTCCATTCATCATCTGTATGTGCTCGTCATGCACAGTAGCCCACAGAGTCTCCTGGTGTAAGTGTAAACATGTTCCCTGATATTGACCCAAACTGTGATAAACGCCACAGAAATGTGCTGACAGTAGGCGGTCACTCTCGCAGCATGTCACATCTCAGAAAGTTGAAGCAGTGACTGTAGAATGAAAGGTTGTCTGTACCGTCCAGAAGAGTACCAGAGCTGATATAGCACAAGCGACATGAAACTCCAAGTGTGAAGATCGTGCCCCCCCACACCCCACCCGGCCTATTCAGTTTCATATATTTTCCCTTTTCTCTCCCTTTTAAAATGTTTTTTTTTTTTACTTTTTTCTTTAATTATGATTATTTATTGTGCCCAATACACCATGCTGCACCTCAGCTCTCAGCACTCACCCGTAATATTCTTCATTTGTAAAATTAATGCTGTCTGTTTACTCAATGTTAGGGATGGCTGACGTGAAACTGATGTTTGGACACAGTGTCGAGATCCCGAAGTGTTTCGAAACACTGCACCGAAGCATGATCCGAAACACCCAAGTCACGTGACTAAAGTGTTTCGAAACACCTGGTCACGTGACTAAAGTGTTTCGAAACACCTGGTCACGTGACTAAAGCGATTCAAAGCATCGATCAGCTTAGAGACCTGGCGAATCTGCATTTGACTGCCAAGGTCGGGGAAAATCCCTGTTTCATATGGCCTAGTGGACTGAGCGAGTACACGCTGTTACTATCCTTCGAATGACGTTTTGGGTTTGAATCCCGATTTGTACAAATACTCCGAAATCATGGTTTTGTGTGTTTTAATCATGTTTCTGTTTTATGGTGTAGCCTAAATAGGATACAGCTGCAGTTACGCCATCAATTTAGCATCATTTTTATAACACTGTAAAACAATAATCAATATTTTTACAGTATGGTTGGGTTTAGGGTTTGGGTAGACATTAGTGAAATGCCATAAACGGGAAATTAAATGAATAATATAAATAATTCTTGATAACTTCAGGCCACAGTGTCTGATCCAGCAACAACCCTGTTTGTTTTAAGACCAAAACAAGACAAATTAATTCACAAAGTGTTTATTCGGAAGTCAGACCAATGTTGAAACAAAACATTACAAGAGCAAAGCATTACCAACTGGTATTAAAGCATTTCAAAACATCTGCATCAGCCTGGCTTCGAACCCACTATCCCCGCATAGTAGTCAGAAACCTTAACCGCTCCACTAAATTACTTGAAGGTTCAAGCCTACAAAGTGGGGTTTAATACCTCAATTTGCTCAACTGTTCTTTGCTGAAGCTGTTTCAGTGTTTCATGCAGCCTGACTTCGCCCACCACTACTCAATATTGTACTGTTGTATATATTTGTTTCTTCTATTTGTACTGTTATTGTCTCTTTTACTTTTGCTTGTTAACCGTCACAGAAATCTGATGAATAAATCTTAGAAACAAAGTTCAGTGTGTGTGTGTGTGTGTGTGTGTGTGTGTGTGTGTGTGTTCACCTTTGATGCCCGTCTTCATTCCGCTCAGGCCCTGCTGTGTCACCGGACGATCCGCCACTTTAATCTGAGCTGACAGAACTCCAGGAGTGGCCAGATGTGCTCCTCTAGTGCCCGGACGGGCCGTCCCTGGGGCCATCTAACACACACACACACACACAGAGAGAGAGAGAGAGAGAGAGAGTCAGACAGAACACTACACACAGTCAGACAAACACACACAATTCAATTCAATTCAATAATTGCTTTATTGGCAAGACAAATGTTATAAATGTATTGCCAATGCAGTTATCAAGCTTACATAAAAAGTAACATACATATATATTTAAACAAACAAAAAAAAAACTGTACACACAGTAAATAGTGGTAGTAAAAAAAATAATAAATAATAATAAAAAAGATTATATTTATATTAATAATTACATAAAATATCAACAATACATCATAATATTCAATATCACATTAATATTCAATATATTATATAATTATTCAACATATCTTATTATTCACACACACACACACACACACACACTCACCGCTGTGCCCACTCTGCTGGCGGTCTGTGGTCTTCCAGCTCCAGGTCCGAATGAGCCGCGACTCGCCGGCCGCTGAGCCGACATCACTGACAGAAAGTCAGCAGATTAAAGATAACCAGCAGATCATATTAATGCGCCTCACACACACACTCTCACACACACACACACACACGGTGTCGTAACCCTTTCTACAAAGCCTTCATGTCGGGTGTGAGGTCTATACCGCACATCATGGACGTGAGGAGGCCTGAACTGCAGTGATGAGGGAACAGTGTCTCTGTGAATGACGATATCAGTGTGTCAGAGGACACTGAGCTGGAGCTTACCGTGTGTTAGAGCTGCACAATTAATCGTAAATATCTCGATCTCGATTCTGTCAATCATATTTTCAAGTTCAGGAGAGAAGAAAAGGCGGCTGCGCGAGTCTTCACACTGTTTTACATGCGTTGTTCAGCAACGCGGACACCCCCAAATGAAAGAGTCACATGCTGTATTTATAAGATACAATTCACCTCCAAAATGTCATGTCTGTCTTCATGTAATGTATTTGCGACCGCAAAATCACACGTGATGTGAGCTGCTGGCTGTGAGCTGTTACCACAGAAGGCCGGTGTTCCGGAGAATTCAGTTCCCCCTGTTCCCCCCTTCACAGCGCATGCGCTAATTCTCAGTAATGACGTCATGCTTTCGCTTCGCTAGTGAATAAATTCGTGTTGGTTTTGAAAAAAAAATTCGTGTTGGTTTTGCTGTATTAACAAGCCCAATGTTGGTTGCATTAAACAATGTTTTATTATATTTTGTAATTGTAATTTTTGCATGCACTCATTAATTGTTTTGTTGTTAATGTGCGTGTTTTCTCGTGTTTCTTTCAAACAAGCATTGTCTTTAAAATAAGCCTTGTCGAGAAAAATATCACTGCAAAATTAGTGTCTTTTGTTTTAGGTAAGTCACGATGATGCTTGTAATGTTTAAAAATTGCAGACTGTTAATGCAAACATTTGTCACTTATCTGCATATGAAAACACATGGGAACAGATTTTCTGTAAGCAAGGTAAGTTTCTGTATTAAAAAACAAAACAACAATACAATAACGTCTTTTTAATCTAATAATTGTCTCCAACAGTTTTCATCTGCAGAAAGGGCATTTAAACAAAAATTATGGATACAGCACATAATACAACTAAAAGATAGACTTAATTTTTTTTATAACTTTTGAAAACTTTTTCCTATGTCTAAAGGGGTGTTACCATTGAAAAGGCGTGGGATTTTTTTTACATTGCCCAAAGAAGTGTTAACTCCTATATATTACCTTTGGTGGATTTAAAAGGCACTACAATGATGCTGGTAACATTTTTTAATGGCATAATTATTTCTAAACTTGTATATGTGTAGAAAAGTGTATTTACAGTGATTTATGTTATTTTTGTGGACTACACAATGACCATATGCATTCACCTGCTTGGGTAAATGGGTACTTTTTTATTTTCAACAATTTTGTACCTTTGGTTCTTGTTAAATTGACAAAAGCTGTTAAACATTATTTTAATGTTGAGTCAGTTGTGGGTAATTACCCTGCATGATCTTTCAGATTGACTGTGATTGATGTGGTTATCACCAGTCATGTGTGGCAGAATAGGGCTGTGCGATATTGAAAAAACAAAACAAAACTAATATTGAAAAATTTTTGTTGTTCTGCCTTATATATTGTGATATAAATACAATTTCACCAGATTGGTTAAATAGCTCTGTTAGAAAATAATTAATTATTTTACATTGATTGGCATGATTTTGTAGGGGACTGATTGAATCATGCATAAAACAATTTACAAGCATAGATAAACAGGGCAAAGACAAAACTGCTGAGATACACAGTGTTTTATGTTTTTTTTTTTTTTGGAGCATTCAACACAGAAATTGAATAATCAAATGTAAAATAACACTAGTCTTCTTTATATAAAAAATAAATACAATTAATATTTGTTTAAGATATAAAAGTTATAATTTATTGTGCCTGAATGTATTAAACTCTTTAAAATCACATGCAAATTATAATTTTTTAATTTAATTTTGGTTAAAATCTGCAGCTACTCCACAAATCACATGTACTCTGAACTTATGTGCTGCTCAACATTGCAGATGTGACAACTGCAGATGGGCACATTGCAATATTAATGCTGATAAGATATATTGTACAGGGTTGTTCAAATAGTAAACTCATTTAATGCATCATCCATTTAATTTATGTTTTTTAAATCTAAGAAAATTGTTAGATTTAAGTCTGACGTTAAAAGGGCATTGTATATTGTGTTTTCCAATCCTCAGAAGGTAACACTTTCCTCTGCTTCGGGAAAATCCGTACTCCAGTGTTTTTAATGTAAAGTCACTTTCTGAAGATACATGACAAGTTACGTAAATATGTCTTTTAAAACAACAAGTATCACTGTGATTTATCTGAAATAAAACGCACTATAATTTGTGCAGTGTATTATGGTTTATTTTTTCGACAAGGCAACTGTTTGAAAGAAACAAGCGAACGCGTGCTAAAAACAGGAACAATACAATAGACACGGGTGTCCATGCAAATAATTGCAATTTTTTTAAAACTCTGTGATGAAATAAACACTGGGCTTACGAAAATACAGCAAAACAACCGTGATCTGTTTCAGTTCGCGAAGCAAATTCATGACGTCATGATTTGTGTACATGGAATCAGCCTAAAGTTGCGCATGCGCTGTGAATGGGGGAACAGGGGAACTGAATTCTCCGGAACACCGGGGGCGCGCGCGCCTCTGAATGAAGCCTACTGTAGTGAACAGAACCTGCATATGCTGGGAATTACAGGCAAGTTAATGAAGTTGTGAATAACATCAGTTTGTGGCACAGAGTGATGGTTTGGGAGCCGCGCGGGAAGTGAACCGCTCTTAGCCATGACAATGAAACCGAGAGCGCGCACAGTGTTGCAGATGTAGCTGACTGACTCCAGCCCAAACAGCATCCAAAACCCGGCTAATGCAAAAACCCACCCAGTGTTCTGCATTCACGAAAATCACGTCAGTGACAGATTTTAAGCAGAAAACGACAGATTGTAAGCATATGTCTCAAACACAATAATTCAACTTCAGAATTATCATCAGCATTAGTGACCAGGACACATCTAAAGTCTGTTCAAGTCCACCACTCCTAGTCTATACAACAATCAGCATTTTAACAGTACAGCTACACAAAGCCTACTGCTGTTTAACCATGTTTGAGATTAACAATAATGATAGCGCACTCATATTAACCTTCATTCACATCTAAAGAATCGCGAGAAAATCCTGATCTTTATTTTAGGCAAAAAAATAAATAAATCGCAATTCTCATTTTAGCCAGAATCGTGCAGCTCTACTGCGTGTGTGTGTGTGTTGTTTACCGCTGCTTTGAGTCTCGGCTCTGCCTCCAGAGCAGCACCAGCACTGTTTGACTGACTGAACACTGTTGTACACCGAGTCCTCGGCTGATCATGTGACTCCTCTGCTTATAATGAGCTATAACGCTTCTCTGAGCTTGTGTCAGCTGAATGAGGCGTTCATTAAGAAGAAGAGCGACTGTAAATCCAGTTACACCTCGATTATGAGGACACTGAGCTCCACGCGCAGAACACGGAGACTGAGCCTCGAGTAAACAGATGTTAAAGCTGTTGAGTTTAAAAGAATAATGAATAAAGAATAATGAATAAAGTTCTTCCTCTCTTGAAGAACTCTTGAGGGAAACCCGCAGAGCAGCCGCAGCGAACCGCTAGCGTTAGCATTAGCATCAGCTAGCAGTACAGCGGTTATCCTCCTGATCGGCTCAAATTAACCACACGAGCACACCTGATGAACACACAATAACCCGCGCTCGCTTACCTGCGACTGCGCTGGAAACACGGTGTGTTGACGGTAAGCACAACTTCAGGTTTAGCCAAAGAGCATAGAATCACCAAACACTCGCCTCAGAGTTGCTAAGCAACCAAGCCATCGCGAGATTTCCTGCTAGTTCAGCGCCATAGATATATACACTAGATATCGCATAGGGACCCTGAGCATGCGTCAATAGCGCCGCCATATTGGTACAGTGCTCCCAGGACAAATGACATTCAACCGCACTAGTCAAGAGTGTTATTACGTGAAGATGCGGGACTTTAGCGCTGTCTACGGGTGTAGTAACGAGCAAACAAAGAAAACAAAGCACAAAGGCAGAACATTTCATAGGTAATATTAAGTTATTTTCTGTTTTTGTATGTTCTGAACTTTTGTGCTAATCAGGTAACTTTATTGATGATGATAACAGTCACTTACTGCATTCACCATACGGCAAAGCAGCTCCAACTCGCACTAAACACTCGGCTTATGCTAGTTTTGTTGAATAAAATCAGCAAACAATGCACAAGAAATATGACAACGAGATGCTGCGCTGCCAGAAACTGGTATTAATGTCGGCTAGTGAACGAGTCGTTCATAACAGAGATTCATTCACAAACGAATCGCTCCCTCCGTCAGTATGAGCAGTGAAAGCAGGAGAGGAGCTGTGCTTCAGGACATGATTAGATCAAATTTAACAGGGAGGGTGAACAGTACATTTCTGTACACACAAACCAATGACTGTAAAAAAAATATGGACGACGCGGCAGCCCCTTTTCCCATTGAACGCCTTGAGGGCAAAACGCCTGCTTGACGGGCACAAACTGTTGCAAAAGACTGCTGAAATTGGAGCCAGACATGCGCAGAAGGACTGTCTGATGGAGCCAGAGGAGCCGCGAAAATGAGCAGAGTCGAGCTTCCAACCAAACGCTTTATGTAAAATAAACCACACCCCTGAACTTCTCAGCATGCGTTTACTGACATATCAACACAAATATTAACAAATATAAGGGTTTTATATATTCAATCGCGCCAGCTCCGGGCAGCAGCGCATAACCTACTCGCGGCGTCGCGGGCTGATTCCGGCTCGCATGCGGCAGCGCCGGGTTCGCTCGGCCGCCGCATCTGGCTCGATTGACTCGGGCTGGAATCGGGCAGTGAGTCCAGGCATCCGGAGTAGGTCCAGCAGAGGTAACATTAGTCAGTCTGAGCTCTGAGGGGTAAGTCTCTGTCAGGGGAGAATCTAGCCGGAACTGGTCCGAGTGTATTTTGCTATCTGGGTGGTTAAGCGTGTATCAGCAAACTAATAAAGCCCGAAAAAAGCCCTGAACTTAGCGAATAAACAGTGTTCCACCAGATCATGTATGTCAGAAACTGTAGTTTACTGCTGAACTCATTTTGTCATGGTAAAATAACACAGAAATCGAGTAATAACACTTCAGTCTCCTGCCGAAGCTCAGACGCGCTGCTTTGAGAAACTGTCAATCACAGCTGTCAATCACGATGACACGCCCAGCATTAAATTACTGCTAAAAACAAACTGTTTACAAAAATGAAGATCTGCACCTATTTCAGCACAATAACCAGTGCCTTAATCCACCAGAACCATCTTTCCGGACATTTTATTGCAAGTGTAATAATTTTTTTATTTGGGCTCAAGTCTCCTTCATTAACACGGAGGAGGCGGGCTTTATGACTTGTACTGCAGCCAGCCCCCAGGGGGCGATCTAACGGCCGAAACCTTCACTCAAACGCAGGCTTGCGGCACACTTGACACAAACACAAGCTTTTTGTCAGGAATGTCCGTGCGGTCACTGATCCATCAATATAGAAAAGTGATGTAAAATTATAATTTTCGTAATATA